ATCACAGGCTTCGAGTTCCTCTAGTGGTGGGCTGCTTAGAGTCGGGGCTGGGTTTTTCTGTGTTCCTGCTCCACTCTCAGCTTTTCAACCATCCGTGGAGGCCTGCCCTCTACCGGCGGTAGGCTGCTATTGCTTGCTATTTGGTGCTAGGCTCATGGAGGGAGGGGCAGGGCAGGGCAGGGGAGTGGAGAGTAGAGGATATCTCTGTAACCTTGGTTCAGCTTCAGTTTTAGGCTTGTCCTATGCTCTTGAGCCTCAGGACAGGGGCTTTTTCAGTATTTCTGCCCCTACTCCCCATGACTGCCAAACTTTGCCTTATCTGTGTGGTTTTGGGTGGCCAGAGTTTCCTGTCCTCTCCCCTAACACAGCAGACCTGTGTTTGAGTCTTCAGCCCAAGACAATTTCCTGTGTCTCCCTCAGGGTAGAGGATTTTCACTTCTATTCTTCTTCCCCTCAAAGCAACAGATCTTTGCCTGTGTTCAAGAAGGGCAAGAAGCTTTTTACTCCTTCCCCAGAAGCAAATGAGTTTTGTTTTTATTCCTCCCCTGAAGCAAGAGTTTGCCCCTTCCCCGGTAGTTAAGGCTTTTGCTTATAGAAGAGTAGGATTGTGGAAGCAGCTGAGGCTTTTCTCAGTCTCCCAGCAGCTGCCTTAATCAACTCCTGCATGCTTGCACCACCGAGGAAGAAAATTCTCAGCCAGTTTCTGCCCTGCTCCTACTTTTTCTCATGTACCCAGGGGGAAGTCTGTGGGAAAAAAAGCTTGCCTGTGAGTACAAATGCCCCTGTGCATGTTGGCCCATGTGTAGCTTTCAAAATTTTGTTAAAATTTTTGTTGGTTCCTCCTGTTTGTATGACAGCCACCTCTTTCTCACATGCTCTACTAAAGTTGAAACAGTTCATGTGTCCCTCTCCTTGAACAGGCTTTACTTGGTTGCCTTGTGACCTCAGCTTTCTGAGGGCTCAGGAAAAGCTATGATTTTATAAATTATCTGGCTATTTATCGTTGTTAGGAATGGGAGTGTCATTTTCTTGCAGCATTCCACATTCTAAGCATAAATAGAAGTTCTCAAGCATAAATAGAAGTTGTCAAGTCACTATCATATTATTTGTGTTGTACACTATCACCTCTCAGACATCTGCGACCACCTCATGGTCCCCTGCATCCAATTTTGCTCCGGTCCCATACTGCATCCAAAATTCTGTCACTACCAGAAACAAAGAGAAATGCAAATACTTGAAATTAGCTATATAAAATCTGAAACCTAGATCATGGTGTACAGGTTATCTATTGCTGAGTATCAAACCAACCCAAGACTTAGTGGCTTAAACCATGACATTCATTTTGTTCATGAATCTACAGGGTTTTACAGAGACAGCTGGGGCAGCTTTAGGACTAGATATCTACTGCCATGCCACTCTGACACATGGCCCGATCTCGTCTGATCTCGGAAGCTAAGCAGGGTTGGGCCTGGTTAGAATGGGAGATCACCTTGGAATACCAGGTGCTGTAGGCATTAAAAAAAAAAAAGACTAGGGGCCGAAATCATCTGAATCACATATATCTGATATCTGTGTAGGAAGACCCAAACAGCTGGGGACTAAACTGCTGGGAGCACCTCTGTCTCTGTGTGGCCTCTCTAGTTTGGTGGCTTCGAGGTAGCCAAACTTCTTAACCTGTTGGTTCAGAACTCCCAAAGAGCATGTTGAGAGAGAGAGTGAGAGAGCGAGCATGTACCTAGATGGAATGTTTTTATGACCTAGCCTCGGAAGTCATATTATTTGTGTTGTACTCTTTTAGCAAGGCAGTTACATAGGTCTACCCAGGTTCTAGGAGAGGGAATATTGACCCAACATCTCAATGGAGTGTCCACATCACACTATAAAATGAAAGTGTAGAATGTGATATATTGATGTGGCCATCTTTGGGAAATACAATCTGCCATACATGATTCTATTTGTTCTGTAATAGTGAAAAATTAACTTCAAAGAGATCAAGCTAAAAAATAAAAACAAAAGATAACCATGACCCCTCTAATTGCATTATTCCAGGTCAACATAACGTTGCCAAGTGTGAATTTGTGCTCCTCTAATCAATTCGATCACGTCAAGACCATGGCAGCCATACTGTCTTTCTATATGCAAATCAGACCCTGTCACTGCCCCTCTTAAAATGACCCATTAGTTCTCTGTTGTCCCTACAATAAATTCCAAACTCCTTAATATGGCTTAATAGGCCTTCACACTTCGTTTCATTTCCAACCCCACCTTTTGATGCTTCCTCCTTTGTCCTTTATGCTCCAGTCTCCAAACTTTCTTTTGCCTATAGGCCTTTGTACATTCTGTATTCCATTTCTGGGACTTTTCTCTTCCTCCATGCTCTAGCCCCCTATTCTAACTGCTATTCATTTTTCTGGACTCAGCTTCCCTAACACAACCTCTCTCCTGCCTCCCACTCTGACTGGCCTACGGCTCTCCTATCTCCTTCCCATATGTTTTCAAAATACCCTGTGCTTACATCTAGGCTCTCCGCACTCGTGATTACGGTACTACTGAGCTGGGCCATTTCTCTCCCGTCACCATTCCATATGAGAGGATGTAGTTTTGTTTTTTATACACCACCATGCACAGTGCCTGAAGTGTGGCAGGGGCTCAACAAATATTGGTTAGATGAAGGAATCTGTGCCTTAAAAACCCACTTCTGGGTTCAAGTAAACAGCCCTCCCACAAACCTAAGATTGCTATGGCACTGTCCTGTCTTGACTCATAACTGAAGTAGAACAAAAGCTAGTTGGATAGTTTGGAATTTCCAGGAAAATATTGACTGTTTCATGTGACTGGAGCTGTTCCCAGCCTTGGGGACTCATTCCAAGGCGGGGCAAGGGAGTGGCTCCAGATTGTCTTCCCTCTCCCAGCAATAATCCTTGTGGGCAGGCCTGTCTGGGAGGGACACACCTCAGGAACAGCTGGTGGCATGTTTGTTCATTTGCCTATATATCCAGAGCCTATTTCTGGAGCAGGTTCTGGACACAAGCCCGTGTCATTACAGCACTAATTTGCCAAGCCCTGAGTGATGAGTTCATGTGCCCGAGGAGAACAGTGGCAGTCACTTAGCTTATCTCCCTGGCTCCAACCCAGCCTTCTCTGGGTATACCAGGTCATTACTGCTTTGCCCCTATTGGTAATTACCCTTCCCTGGTTCTAAGGTTCAGCACTAAATATTGCTCCATTTGTTCTGACTTTGTCTGTTTCACTAAGGACATGAGGAAGGAAGAAAGTTAAGGATGCTAAGAAAGGCTCTCTCAACTCATAAATTCTGCTGATTTGAGGAAGTCCTAACTAGAGTTCCTTGGGAGTTTCCAGGGTCAAAGGAAACAAACAGATCAGTATTTTTGGCCAATACTATTTTTCCTATGGTTGGTCCAATTTCTGAAAGGGAACTGGAACACAAAGAGGTCATTTGACTTATTTATGATCACACAGTAAGCCACAAGACAGATAAAGATAGCACCCAAGACTCTTGGTTTCAAATTTAGTGCAACTTGAATAGCCTAAGGTAAATCTATATTAATAAGTTAGCTATGGAAACTAAAATCAAATTTGTTTTTGGTAAATGGAGTTTCACCTTTTTTTAGAGCCATCACTTAAGATGTCACCTCTAAACTAATTAAGAAACGATAGTTACCATTTATTAGACTCTCTTCTGTGGAAAACTGTCTCTATTTGAAAGAGTTAAGTGAGAAGGTAGCTGGAGATCTGGGGCCTTCCCCTCATACCTCATCGAGGTTTTCATGTGGGGCTAAAGCCTTTCAGTCGTACAATTCCTTTTTGGTTTCTCTAAATCAGTTCCCCACCTTCTCATACTAAAATTTGTTTCTTAGGTAGAAGATGCAAAGTTGAGAAAAGGCAAAGGTAGACTCTTGCCTGAATTACAGAAACATTATTTTCTGTTACTGAAACATTCCTTAACCATGTTATGATCAGCTGCTCTTTGGGTAAGTGTTTTGGACCTTATTGCTTTTATTTCTTAAATTATTGTTATAGAGGAAGAATAATTTTTTATCATGCCGGGAGAAGAAACATCTTAGTCTTGTCTTTTTAAACCTATCCATCCAGCCGAAGGCCATCAGATGGCCCTGTAGGAAGAGTGAGGTCTGGCACCTGAACCCCAAGCAGAGATGGCAGCTTGCAAGCTCGGACCAGGACCAGATTATTGACAGTATCTGGCTTCCTCAAAGTGTCTGAGGGAACACAGAGGCCCACTCTCTATGTCAAAGGTATCCTACTAATAAAAAGAAGTAAGAATAAAGCTAACATCATTAGTCAGTGGGGAAAAAAAAGAAAATATATCTGGAAATTACAACAAAAATATTCATCTAATTAAGCAAGGATATGGAATCACCTAGTTGGCTCCCATCCTTTCATACAAAGCAAATACTTGATTTCAAAATGAGCAAATGTTCTCTGAAATATTTTATGGCCACCCTGCTCATCATTAGGGACTTGGAATCTATTACTCAGGGAGAAGATCCATGGAGCTGCAACCTCAGAATGGTACCCTCAGAGCATACGTTAAAAAAGAGGAGGCTGGCAAAAGTTACCAGCTCCCCCGAATTGGCATGCATTTGTTCTTATCATCCCCACTGCCTGGGAGCATCTCTCTGGGAGGAATCAGGTCAATAGTGCCACACACAGTTGTTCTGACTGGAAAAATCTTATACAGACAACATAAACTGAAGAACACCATAAACAAGGAGGAAAGCACAGGCTCAGCCAGGAGAGCTGCTACAAGGAGCAAACAGGGACCTATTTGGCAGTGGTGTCAAATACCAACACTATATTTGCAAGACTAATTTGGAACTTAGCTCTTTTTAAGTGCAGGAAGAAGTTAGGAGAGAAACCACGTGGAAGAAAAAATATACACACGGAAACACCCACCTTTTCACACTTCTTTTGTTCGTTTTCCCCACAAGGAACAAATCGGAGGAAAGACGCATCCAAGCTCTTTTCTTAAAGTTCCTACGTTTATTACGCACTGTTAGAAAAGCCCCAGGTGGGGCTTGGATTCAAGGAGGCAGAATTCACTCTCGGTCTCACTCACCCCTGACAATTTACCAAGAGAATGCTTGGAACACAGGCAGGAACATCCAGAAAAGGCAAGAAAAAAATATGGCTCACTTAACTTATACATTATACACAAGGACATCAGCTTCTCCAAATATATTTACACTTGGGTCCTTCACTAGATTCTTAGCAGGCTTCTCACCTGCAGCAGCAGAGCTCAGGCAAACTGTGAGACATACAGGAAAGCAGTATTTTGATCCAGCATGCACTGTGTCTGTCCCTTTATCCAAGAGAGTCACACATGCCAGCCCCAAAAAGTCCTCAGGGGCCTGCAGCTGTTTGCTTTGTGGAGCGGAAGGTTGAGCTTTTCCCTCGCTAGATGTCTCCTTGCTGCCGCTGCTGAGCTCTCCACTGTTCGTTCCCTCTGGACCCGAAGCAGCTGCTCAGAGTGTGTGTGTGTGTAATTTATTGTTCCGCTACCGCTGGCTCGTCCCCAGACACTGACTTCTCAACCTGTGACTCTGGAGGAATCAGATACTGGACTTCCTCTGTACTGATGGCTACTTTATCTGGCTGGAGCCACCTCTTGAAATGTTCCAAGGTGCTAGGAAAGAGCAAGAGAAAAGGGTGGCTGCATCAGACTTCCAAGATTATCCCAGTTACTCAATATGCCTTCCCACCCACCACCAATTTCTTCCTACAATTGTTTTTCACTAACAGGGGGAGAACGGTGTTACTCCTCTAACAGCTGTGCATCCTGGCAGCCCCCAGGCATAATTTACCCCCTAGTGGGCACTTTGGCTATAAGCAGTATCAGGCCCCCTTCAAATGCAGAGTCTCTGAAGGCTTGATGAGAATAGCTGAAAAGCTTATTCCTCAGTCCTGTCTTTTTTTCCTTAAAACTAAAGAAGAGAGAAATTGTCAAGGAGAGGAAACATTCAAATAAATACCAAATTATTAGCAAGGCAGAAACCTAAGCATCTTGAAATCTTATACCTGAAGCAATCTGAGATTCAATTATGTTTAGTTGCACAGAGGGCAATTTTTTTTTGTTTGTGGGCTTTTGTTTGTTTAGTTCATCTCATAGCAAGCCCTCAAGATGGAAACATCTGAGCAATTAGTAATTCCCCACAAAGGAAATGCCACTATGCCAGAGGGCCCTTTTTTGTTTGGATCTGTGGGGAGGGGAAGTATTCCCTTCCTCACTTCCTTAAGTACACCTGATCCTCGCTCTAAAGCTATTAGACATCCAGGGTAAAATATAAATGACTGGAAATAATGTAAACTTCATTCTATGCTCTTCAGTAGCACAAAGTCTTAAGCCAAGAAATAAAGCCATAACCGGCAGATTTTTGACACCTGTCAGTGTATGGGGGAATCATGGTGTCCTCAGTTGGATTTCTCAGCTCAATACTCCCTTGCCAAAAGCAGACTGAGGAGGGTCTTCACATATGTGAAGAACCACACAATTCCACTACAGAATGGCCTGTTTAAAACATAAACTTTGAAGTTTGAAAACAAATGCATATCTACTATTTCCTGGCGCTTGTTTTGATCAATGATCCAAAGAAGCATTCCCACAGATGTAGGCTTAGGGGAACAAGTATCCACAGCTCAGGGGACTCAGGTGCTACAGGGGCATTTAATCTTCATCTGTCACACTTTTCATAGAATTGTTTCAATTATTTCTATAGAGAAAGGAAAACGACATTATTTTAGGTATGGATAAATATAAAGAAATGTTAACTGGAGGCTTGATGCTGATCTGATTTCAGTTAAAAAGAATTTCTGGGCAGGAGAAAGTTTTGTCTTCTCAGAGAGGAGAGAAATATTCAAGGGTAGAGAGAATATGATATAGAGAATACGGTAGGTCAGTAATCTGTGCATCTTCAAGTCTTCTGTGTTTGGGGCAGTTTAAGGCTCAACGTGCTTGGGCCTTTAGATACAGAAAGAGCAAAATTTATATTATTTTCTGAGCCCTGGGAGGGTAGCTGGCCTGATCTCAGATGCCACACTGATTTCTGAAGGATCTTGGGAAATGCTGATTTAGTATTTTAGATATTGTAAGTGAAAGTACTTTGCAAGTTAAAAAATAAAACATCATACTGTCTGTCCATGATTTCAGCAGTAGCACCTTCATCTGACACCATGAGACTCTCAAAATCAATGAAAATGATATGTTGCAAACTTAGGTTAAGTCATATTCCCCTAAGACCTTTTGTTAAAATTCAGGTTTCCATTCCCTTCACTGATCTATAAACAATTTCTTACTAAACTTTAAAATTCTGCTAGGAAGAATAATATTAATAATAGCTATCACTTCTATAGCACTTAACATGTGTCAGGCACTGTTCTTAGCACTTTATACATAGTAAATCATTACCCTCATAACAACCTTATGAGGTAAGAGCTACTACTCCCACTTTAGAGAGAAAGAGACTGAGGCACACACAGGTTACTTACCAAAGAACCTACAACCAATAAATGCCAGAGCTGTTTTCCCAGTGTCAAGCTGGGAAAAACATTATCATGTTCTTTGTTGCAGAATGCCCTCTCTCCTTTCTGCATCTGGCCCACCTACAGGTTCTGTTTAAGTCCTGCCTCCTTCCCTGGCACAACACCAGAGCCTATAGGGAGCTCAATGGCCCCTCAACACTCAAAGCATTTTCTGTCAACTTCCACTCATCTGGCTCTTCTCTTATGCTGTCTGGTATTGCCAGGTATGTCTTTATATACATATTTGTCATCTCTCTCTAACTAGATCTGGGGACCAAGAAAAGGATCTAAAACTTCCTTACATCTCCCCTCCACCTCACAGCGATAGCCCCATGACACCAAGCACAGTGCCTACATGCAGCAGATGCTTAAGAAATTCATTTATTTAGTCTACATAGATTAGAGGGGCGACAATATGACAGAAACTCAATAAGGCAATGGAGAGTCAGAAGCAGGAAGACATAGCTCCAGTTGTTGATGACTACTTTCTCAAGTGCATTATGTACTTAAAATGAAAACAATGGTTTATCGGTTTATCCTCAACTATGTCCAAGATGTAGCTGTATGTTTGCCTTTGGCAAAAATACCTGTTCTCAGAAATCTGCTGCTGGACTAAGAGCAAATAGAGCAAATTTACAAAGGATGGTTTTAGCTCAGAAAAGCTGATATTGATATCAAATAATATCTCAACTCAGATGTAACTCTCCCTGAATTCTTTAGAAAAACAGAAATGCCCTCAGTGAAAGACTGTCACCTGGAACTCGACTGGGAATCAATTACCTCTCATCAGAATCAAGTCCATCCACGAAGAACTCTGATGCTAGCTTCTCCTGGAGGAATCGATCCCAGCATTCCTTCTTGGCTTGGGCCAGGGTTCGAAGCATGTCCTTAGAGGTTAATTCCTGATTTAAACCTTTGATTCTTCTCAGTTTCTTCTCTAAAGAGTTTAACAACGAAAGTAAGTATGAAATTAAATCTAAAATACAAAATACCAACTTAAAAATTCACTGGTGAGTATATCCACACTCTCTAAAAGAGCTCGTTTTTAAAAAAAGATAAAGGGAAATGTACATTTTTCTTTTTCCTTCGCAATTTCTTCACTCTACATTGGATCAAATAAATCTTTAACCCCAGAAAAGGGAAAAGCCATACGTTCTCATAAATAAATAAATGGCATGTTTTCTTTGAAATCACAGAAGCCCAGCAGGTATCTCTCTAAGGAATGCTTGCTTTCCCTGGCTTGACATGTGTATACTACTGTCTTTGTCTTTTTTAAACTCCTTCAAAACGGTTTTTTTGTTACAGTGACACGAAGTGGTTTCCAAACCTCATAAAAAAGAATTAGAGAAAATGATGAGAGATCAAATGGTTCATTAGACACTAAAATTGACTTGATGAGAACTCAGTAATAAGAAACCTTTAAGATTTCTATGATTAAATTCTTGATTAAAGAGAAGGAATCTCCCAACATTTTTTAAAGTTGCTCAACTCGTGGCCTAGATGTTGGAGCCTAATAAAAACAAACATCTTGTAATCTTTTTGAGAGTGGTCCATATGGCTTCCTGATGATAGATGTTTAATTACTCTTATTTGCATTTTAAGTTTAACTGTTGAACAAATATCCCCTTTTGAAGAATACAAGAAAGGGTATCTTAATTCTGCCTTAGTTTAGTCTTGCCTTCAACTATAATAAATGGGTAAATGACAATTTTCTTGAAAGAGAGAGGTAGACATCAAGCCTAGAACTTTATGATTTGCAATCCTGTTTTCCTTTCTAAGCTAGCACTCTCTGATCAAAACAGTAAATACCTTTTGTTGCAGGTTACCACCAAGAGCTCACCCATGTAAAACAGCTGCAGTTGATAAATGTTAAGTATTTAAGAAATTTTTTCTCCTTGAGGATGTGAAAGGATTATGCATATCTTATGCTGAAATGGCTACATTTTTTAATTGTTGATCTTGGTGAATTCTCTTTGATATAGGTTTATTCGGCAATAAAAACAATCTTTTTATTGTCTGACCTTGGGTGTTAAGGTGGAAGGTACTCTTTTGGGCTAAAAGTCTTCCTTTTTCTGAGTGTGCTAAGTCCCTGAACAAGTGTGATCTAAGTTGGGCACGCAGAAACAGGTATTGCATACTCCAAAACTGCCTGTCATTGTCTCCCAGGCTCTGCCATAGGCACCAGAAATGGCTCTAATTTTTCTCAGAGACAGAAATTTTAATCATCTTCTTAAATGATTTTAGAAAAGATCAGGAGAATTTTAACTTTCTGAACCAATCAAAATCATCATTGAATCCATGAAAGCTTCTTATAACCCCTGGGCACAGAGCACTAACAAGCCAAAAGAGCTAATTCTTCAGCTTTCTCAGAATGTTGCTTCTTTTCCTCATCATTATTAAACAGATGTTCTGACTACCACAAAACACAGTTGTCAACCTCCTCAGCCATGACTGCAAATATTACTATCCTCTCTTTGGTGGCTTCCCAACAAATCTGACATTACAGCCTCATCTTTCTCATTATCCATCATTCCACCTATGTTTTTTTCATATATTTTTCTTCCAGCACATCATTAACAAAATTTCTTTTGTTTTTCCAAGATATTTAGCAATCATGTAAACTCTGACTCTTTTTTCTATCCTTCCTCAAAAGCTTCTTCTTCCTGAATTGCCTTTCCTTCCTCAAATAATTATTCCCAGGTTTGGTATGACACATAGATGGATCTCATGAATGTTTAATAATAAAAAGACATCACAGTTTTAAAAACTGCAATCACTGCCCTACACTGATATTTCTCTTTCCCCTAGCATGGGACAATCTGAATCTCTTTCCTGTATTTGGAGTCTCTCTAAATACTTACACTTAAGGCCACAGGACAAGACAGTGAAGATATGTTCAGAAAATATTTAAAAAAAACAAAATGGCTAACGAGACAGAACAAAGTTTATGCCAACATCCTCCCATTCTAACAATCTAATATAATAGTTTTCAATTTGTAGCATCAGAAATCCACATGTAGCTCTGGGTCCATGACCTTTTCTTTCAGGATGGCATAAGGCTTGATATTTTTGAGTTATTTGAATATATGAGCCACCAACAGTAGGCAAGAGGGTCTACAGAATGTCAAGAAATAAAACAGAATTTAGATGAAACAGAGTCAGGAGGTGAAAAGGACTGTTTTAAGGGGTATATAAGTAAAAGGGGGTTCTTCCCAACAACCAATCTGAAACATCCCCTAAATTACACCTGACAGATACATGTTGTGAGGACAAAAGAAAAAACTAAGAATAGAAAACCAGGTTTGGTGTAAAATAACTTCAAGCTTCCTTAAAACCACCAGCTTCTGATTTAAAATATTTTTTAAAAGCCACCGAACTTACCTAGAGATGCTAAATACACTTCTGAATCCTGTAAGGGAGCCCAAGGCTTTAGAGCTACCTGAGCAGCAAAGTCTGGGGCCTCCCCCTGGCTTGTGCCTGGAGGGTAAGAATCCATAAATGAGTCTGAAAAGGCATTGTTGGCACCATCCTCTTGGTCAGGATTTGGCAGACAGGAACAGATTTCAGCCCAAAGATCCAGGCCAGATTTTGTGGCTGTAGAATCAATGCTCTCAAACATTTTCATTTGGGATTTGATCTGGAAAAGAGAAGTTCAAGTGAGCGAGAACTGGCTTTAAAAATATAGTATAAGGATGCAGTGCTCGGATATTTGTTTACTCAATGAAGGAAGGTAATAGGCTTTTAAGAAGTTTCCCTTAACAAACTTAAAATGTCTTCTGTTAGGTTTCTGTGTTACAGATAAAAAGATGACAAAAGGTAATTAGGTTCCTCTTCTGGCTCTGCGCTCAAGTTGTTTTCATAATGAAATTTGTCTTTAAAAATGAAATGTCTACAAGCCAGACACAAAAGGACAAATATTGAATGATTCTACTTATGTGAGGTATTTAGTATGGTCAAATTCATAGAGAGAGAAAATAGGATCTTGGTTGCCAGGAGTTCTATTGTTTAATGGGTACAGTGAGTTTGAGAAGTTCTAGAAATGGATGGTGGTGATGATTGCACAGCAATGTGAATATCACTGAACTATACATCGAAAAAGTTTAAATGGTAAGCTTTATGATATGTATGTTTTAAATCTCTCTCATACACACACACACACACAGACATATACACGAATTTCTACCACACTTCCAGTGAAGACAATCATCCTGTACTTCTCTGCAAAAATCTAACAAATTCAACTACTCTATTCTCAGCCAATTAAATTGTTTTCAATAGGGCACAGACTAAAGGTTTTGCACAGTTCCATACACACAAGGATAATAAAAGTGCTACTTGGTGCAAACTGTCTCTCAGAGAGTACTGTCATATACAAAAACCCATGTGCACATCATAAGTAGAAGCTGGGCTATATACCTCATGTTCATATTTTAATAAACATTGATAGACATTTCCATCACTTTATAGATGAAGAATCTGAGGATCAGAAGGGTAACTTGTCAATGGCACATTACTGATATGTGGTGAATCTTTGATTGGAAACCATACCTGTGCCGCTCCAAAATCCATGTTTTTATCCAATCCACTCTGCCTGTTTGGGAATATACTGAAAGTAGCCCGAGCAGAAGTAGGTGGTAAAGGCTACCCATAGAGCCAGAGGGCTTTCATAACTATCTAGTCTTATAGCATGAGTTGACACAGTCTCTCAGGAGGGACCTCTGAGATTAGAAAGTCTGCCTGCGGAAAGGTCTGAATAATTCCAGGAGAGCCCAGCTAGCGAAAGGTCCCGGAAGTAAAACGGACAGATATGTCACGGCATCCAAGGATAAACTAATGCCAGGGACCACATTGAACACACACCGCCCTCCAGAAATCGTTTGAACGCACCTAAACCAAAACTCTGCTCATACCGGAGCCCCGGTTCCCCCTTCCTCCCTAGGAGGTCCAGAACAGCGCAAGGAACCCTGGCATCCAGACCCCTGGGCCTCAATCACTCTGGCTTCAAGGACTGGCTGGGAGGGATGAGTCAAGCTCCGAGGCCGCTCTGTGGTGTCTCGACATGGGGCCGGAGCCGGGGACACAAAACGCTTGGTACCTCCCCTCTCCCCTCCTCACCTACCGCAACAGCTGGCCCAGCAGCCCGCAAACGCTCAGTTCAGTTCTGTCTCTGGCAGCCCGGAAGAAATAGGGGGCGGAGTCTCCGAGTGACTGATCCTGGAAGCTGTCCAACCACCGCCCGATCTGGAGATGTTCTGTGCGTCTATAGGTTGAGTGGAGCTCAGCTGGGTGAGGAAATGCGGAGCTGAGGGCAAGGAAGCGGTGGGCGGGCCTGTTGTTGCCGAGAAACGGTGGAGTCATGTGCCCTTGGTTCCAATTTTTCCCTGGAGCCAGGTTGATTCCCCTTATTGCTGTGTGTTCTAGCCGCGCGGACGGTACCCTGCACCCATTACCTGCTCGGATTGGGAAGCCTGGTTTTGAAGGCCTTTGACTTTTCTTGGTTCCCTGAGCAAGTTCTTCTCAGTAATTCTCTGGGCATGTGTTTGTCTTCAAAAATTTCAGCTCTTAGAGCACTTCTGCTGATGGAGAAGGAGGCGACTTCTTACTGTCACTGGAGACCAATGTCCCCATTCACCAATAGAGGCCAAGTTCCTGCTGTGTTCTAGTCATTGTATTAAGTGGGAATTCAGGACAGACAGACTTGGTATGGGTCCCAGAGGTCTTTACAGCTCAGTGTAGGAGGGTGCGCCATGGGGCAGACAAGTTTACAAATAACAGCAAATAGTTATAAAGGAGATGGCGAAGTGGGGCCATAAAGGGGAGGGTGGTCATGGAAAGTGTGTGTCAGAAACACTTTTTTTCAAGGAGACAACTTTGATATCCTTTAGGAGCTATCAGTTCACTGAGATGCATCCCCTCCTCACCCCTACAGCTCCAATTTGCAGGGCAGAGTACTCGCTCCTAAAAAACAGGTGCCAAAAGACATCAGCCAACCATCTGTAGAAGTAACTTAGCTAATTATAAAGATGTGTCCAAAGCCAATCAATGTGGCTTTGGAAGCAATAACTACCACCATGTGAAAGGGAGCTACAAGGTACTCTGTTGCTCACATTGATAACCATTCTTAGAATATGCAAGCAGAAGGAAGTGAAAAGCAAGGAGGTTAGAAAACAAAGGAGCAAATAATAAGCAAGATTTTGACAGTGCTTATTCACAGAGAATAAATGGGGAGTCTCACCATGAGGGATCCTCAGAGACCTCCAGCTACCACCTGACTAACAACATGAATCTGGCAGCATCTGATTCATAGAAAAAGGCACTGTCATAGGTTTACAGGTGCTTCATCAAGCTACTCCAAGGCTTCTTGACTCACTTATACCCTTTTCTCTTGCTCACCAAACAAACTATTGATTTCAAATATCTTGTTAACAGAATGAGGGTACTTTTAAAATATCTGTTAAATATCTTGATACCGGGATGAGGGTACCTTCCACATTGGGCACAAATAATTGCTAGTATGAAATGGAATACATTTTATAACTTAAAGTTACAGTTGTAAAGTAACAAATTGGCATCCTAGTGATTCACCCATGCCCTCTGAATTTAATTAGTGTGTGCTGAAAAATCCAAACCAGATCCTGGACTTTTACAGCTGAAACCATAAGCCATGATGATGTCCTCTTCTCTAATGACTGCTCAGAGTAGGAATCCACATGAAGGCAGTCAGCATCCCTCTATTTTGGACTCTGCCTTAACAGCAGTGTGATTAGCACAAATATGTTTTTTATTTGTATCCTAAACCAGCCTCTCCTTCACTGAGATCAGAAACCATGTCTTTCCTGATAAATATATCTTACCTTTGTATCTCCAGAGTCAAGCAATGCCTGGCAAATGTTCAAAATTTACTTAGTGTGTGAATGTTTGAAGTAGAGTCCTCATGGTCAAGAATGACACTGAACTGGAGCTAGCCCTTGTAATTGCCTCTACACTCCCTCTGTGTTGCAACCAGGGTAATTCTTTTGGAATGAAGATCAAATCATATCACACACACATATACCCTAAGAACTCTGATGATTTCCCATTACTCTTTTTTCCCCCAGCTTTATTGAAATATAATTGACAGTTGCTCATATTTACATTGTACAATTCAAAGAGTTTTTTTCAATTGGCATATATTTCAGTTATACAGCATAGCAATCAGAGATCTACATAACTCACAAAGCAATCACCCCACTAAGTCTATTACCTATCTTCCTTCTTACGTATTTATTACATTAGTAACCATCTTCCCCATGCTGCACTCTACATCTCCATGTCTATTCTACAACTAGCCATTTCCACTTGCCCTTTTTTGCTGTCCCTTCTCACCCATTACTCTTAAAATGCTTAAATTCCTATCATAGTAAGTTAGTTGGAGTTCTTAGTTCAAATAATATAACTCATTCTAGCCAGTTTAAGCAGTAAGAGGAATTGATTAAAGCTGCCCTGTCCAATAGAACTTTCTGTAATGATAAAAATGTTCTGTATCTGAGTCATCCAATAAGGTAGCGACTAGCTTAATGTGGCTACTGAGCACTTGAAATGCAACTTGTGCAACAAAAGAACTAAAATTTAAATTTTGTCCAATAGAACTTTCTGTAATGATAGAAATGTTCTGTATCTGAGTCGTCCAATAAGTAGAGACTAGCTTAATGTGGCTATTGAGCACTTGAAATGCAACTTGTGCAACTGAAGAACTAAAATTTAATGTCATTTTAATTAATTTAAATTTAAATAGCCACACGTGGCTACCCTATTGTACAGCTCAAGATTAAAGAATATTTAGTAGTACAGAGAGTCTCAAGATGGGCCAGAGAGTCAGGCTGGGGAATCTATAGAGTCAGAAACAGTGTCTAAACCGTGCTGAGAAACTGCTCAGGGAACACCCCACTGCCACTGAACATAGACACTGTAGCTGGCATTGCTGACTGGGCACTGGATACAAGAACCTCCTCCACTGTTAGCCTCCCAAATCGATGCCTCCAATGCTATCTTGTCAGGCATGGATGCCTACTTCCTCTGCTGTGTACTTCTGTACCAAAGGCTCTGCCCGATCAGAAGAGCTCAGGTGAAACACCAATGTCCAAGCTGCAAGGGAGGCTGGAAAGGCCAGTTCCTGGTTTCCACCTCTTGAAGGAAGTACTTATTATATGAGAAATTCTTCACACAAAAGAAGAGTGTTGGAAAGATGCTGAATGTCCAAATGTCTGCTCTCTGTGGTCTATACCAATACTTCTCAAACTAATATGCAGACAAATCATCTGAAGATCTTATTAAAATGCAAATTCTCATTGAGGAGGTTGAGAAGGAAGGAGAAACAAGATTCCGCAGTTCCAACAAGTTGCCAGGTGTTGCGCATGTTGCTAATCCAGACTACATTTTGAGTAGCAAGGCTTCATACCATCCCACAAGGACTCCCTCTCTAGATCTCTTCGGTATCTCTCTCCTTCTCTGTGCTTCAGACACATTCTGAACACCATTTTTTTTTTTTAAATAACAACTTTATTAAAATATACTTCCCATACCATACAATTCACCTTTTTGTCATGTGCTGGTTCTCAGAGGCTTTGGCTTCTTCTGATTTCCATCTTTTTCCGAGCCTGTTCTCCAAATCTCTTGTGAACTCTATGAGGTACTAATATTCTTTTCTTAATTCTCTCTGTGATGAAGTTAACCAGAGTTGGTTTCAGTATTTTGCATTTAAGAGCTCTGATAAGTATATCTTCTGATCCACTTGCAATTTTAATCTTAGGCCAGAGGCATATGGGAAGCAATGGGAGGTCTCTATAATCTTTCTTATGCTGTTAGGGGGAAAGGCAGGTGCAAAAAACATTGCTTCTGGGGTGTGTGTATTTTAAAATACTCATATAACAGCTTTATTGAGATATTAGTCACATAATGTAATATTCATTCTTTTAAAGTATAAAACACTGCTTAAATATTCTTAGCATATTCAGAGTTTAGCAGTCTGTTTTGTTCTGTTTTAAATGTTTATTTTAAATTTAGAGTGTTTTCTTGCAAATAAAGTTCCTTGCAAGAGTTTTTCCAGAGCAAGGAAGTTTCAGCATATCTATAAGAAATCAACGCTTTTGGTGAGTCTTCTTCACAGCCTCTCAACAAGCCATTCAACTCACTTCCTCATTGCCTCACTCCCACTCTCTTCACAGTCCCCGCCTCAGCACTGGGCCTCACTGATTGGCTGGTGCCAGTGACGTCCTCAGATCGCGACCCAGGAGCGATGGCCGCCCGATTATGTGGCTAGGTGGCCGCTGGTGGCTCCCGTTTCTTGTGCAGGGGTGCTTCAATCTCCGGTCTCTTAGTTTTGCCAGGATTTGGGGTGGCCGTAGGGGCCCAATGGAGGAAACGCTCTCGACTGGGGCTGAGGCAGCAAGCGAGGTGAGGGCTCCGGCTCAGCAAAACGGAGACGCGGGTGGCGATGCGAAGGCTGAGCGGCCCCCAGTGTGCCCCAAGCCGGCGGGCCAGGAAGTGGAGCTGGCCCCTAGGGACAGAGAGCAGGCCACAGGGAACGAGGAGCTGGCCACGGCTGCAGCGCCGAGCCCAGGCAAGCGGAAGAAGCTGCGGGGCACAACCAGGGAGCGCGTGGTGCCACCGCCGAAGAAGCGGCGGGCAGGGGTGAGCTTCGGCGATGAGCACTTTGCGGAGACCAGCTACTACTTCGAGGGAGGCCTGCGCAAAGTGCAGCCTTATTACTTTGACTTTCGGACCTACTGCAAAGGCCGCTGGGTGGGCCACAGCTTGCTGCACGTCTTCAGCACCGAGTTCCGAGCCCAGCCCCTGGCCTACTACGAGGCCGCGGTCCGCGCGGGGCGCCTCCACCTCAACGAAGAGCCCGTACAGGACCTCAACATTGTGCTCAAGGTGGACTCCTGATGGGACTGGCCGAAAGGGTCGAGGAAAGGGGGCACGGTTTTTTTTCAGAGCTGGTAGGGCATAGATACTGGAGTAAAATCGGGGTAATTCAGGAGCTTTCTCGCTTTCTCTTGGTACAATCTTTTAGCTTTCTTCTCCCACCCGGTTTCTGCAAGTAGCTTCAATGCTTCAAAACTCACCCCTCCATCTAAGCGGCTTCCTTGTTTCCAAGGGACAGAAATTGGAATTCTTATGGCTTATTTAATACAGTGTCTTGTGGCACATGCCAGTGTGACAGTGTATAAAATAAGCCATAAAAATTGATCATTGATCACTTTTTACCTCACATCGTGTACAAATAGTATAATAGAGGCTATCATTTATGTCTCCTTAGTTTGTGCTGGGCACAGAGTTAAGCATTTTTAAGTACTTTAACATTTAACGACAGCCTTATGGGATAGTTATTACCACCTCATTTTGCCTGTGAGGAAACTAAGATAAACTTCACAGAAATAAGGCAACAGCATCACCTCCAAAGCCTGTGTTCTTATGACTACTACTTAAATTATTAATCTTAGACTCTGATATGATAGAATTGTGAACTGTCAGGGATGAAGACCAGAGTTGTCTAGCTCAGTGCTTTGATCTTTCTATAAAATTTCTTCACAACAAAGAGGTACCAGACACTCCTGTGAGTAATACTGGCTCACTAGGTCGTGAGGGAAGACAAAGTGATTTCAGCATTTGAGGAATAGATGGTTTGAATCCCCTCTCTCATCTCAATTTTGAAAAACACAGGTCTGGTCTAATTCTCACACTTTACAGATGAGGAAACTGAGGCCCTGAGACGTCAAGTGGCTTGCAGTGAGCCTGTGGACAATCCAGTTCTAGAACTCGGATTTCTGGACTTAACGTGATGTTGTTTGTTTGAAGTCATGAAAAGTGATGATTTAAGAAAGTTTTCTCCCACCATTTTAGAAAAATTTACTTTTTAAATATAACATTGTAGAGAAAATACAAATAAGCAAAATCAAAAAGCATTTATAATCTCATCACCCAGAAATATCACCATTAACATTTTGTATATATCCTAGTTCTTTTTCAATGCCTGCTACTGCCTGGGTGTCTGTATATTTACAGAATGAGAATACACTATGCATACCGCTTTTTCTGTGTAAGGAAATACTGTAACCATTCTTCCCATGTCAAATAACAGGGGAATCTGTGTGTGTAGTTGACTGATTACAGGTTGTTGGCCCTTGGGATGACCGATTGATTGCCTGTATCATTGGCAGGACAATGACTTCTTGCGGAACACAGTACACAGGCATGAGCCACCAGTTACAGCAGAGCCTATCCGTCTGCTGGCTGAGAATGAAGATGTAGTGGTTGTAGACAAGCCTTCTTCCATTCCTGTCCACCCGTGTGGCCGCTTCCGACACAACACGGTCATCTTCATCCTGGGCAAGGAGCACCAACTCAAGGAGCTACACCCATTGCATCGGCTTGACCGCCTTACCTCGGGGGTCCTCATGTTTGCCAAGACAGCATCCGTCTCGGAGAGAATTCATGAACAGGTTCGAGACCGGCAGGTGGGTCTCATTTATGTCTCATGCAGGTGACTTCCTGGGCTCACAAATGCTATGTGTCAAAAGGACATCACCAAGTTATATCTGAAGTGGGCCTTCATGTTTATCTGGCCAAGCTTCCTACCTTCAGAGAGGTCAATGCCTAATGTGCCGAAGACAGGTTATTATCTCTTAACGTTTTGAGAGATTTTTAGAGATGGCATACTCTGCCTCTCTTTATAATTTGCTCTCTTAAAGTTTTTAATTACTGACAGGCTGAGTGAGGTTTTTAAGATTGTGGGGAGAGCATATTGGTAGAAAGATTATGGATGAAATCTGAAGAGTCTTGGGTAGAAGAGTTAAATGGTAGTGACTGTGGTCTTGAGACTTGTAATTCTCAATTTCATTGTGATACATTTACTGAGTTCTTACTGTATACCAGGCTAAATACCAAGTACATTAAAGCCTAACTCAATTCAACAGCCCTGTGAGATAAATGCTTTCCTAATCTCACATTTTCTAGACAAGTTAATAGGATTTAAAGAGGCTAAGTAATATACCCAGAATCATGAAACTGGCAAATGGTGGAGCTGGGATTTGAATCTTCTTCTGTCTGGCACTGATGCATTCTCATCACTTGCAGAGGGCCTGGGCTTCATGAGTTTGTGCTGAATTTCTCCCTCTTCCTTCCTTTGTAGCTAGAGAAGGAGTACATATGCCGGGTGGAAGGGGAGTTCCCCGCTGAGGAAGTGACCTGCAAGGAACCCATCTTGGTAGTATCTTACAAGGTCGGGGTGTGCCGTGTAGACACTCGGGGCAAGCCCTGTGAGACAGTGTTTCAAAGACTGAGTTACAACGGCCACTCCAGTGTGGTGAGGTGCCGGCCACTCACAGGCCGCACCCACCAGATCCGAGTCCACCTCCAGTTCCTGGGCCACCCCATCCTCAATGACCCCATCTATAACTCAGTGGCCTGGGGCCCCTCACGGGGCCGGGGTGGCCACATTCCCAAGACAGATGAGGAACTGCTTCGGGACCTTGTGGCAGAGCATCAAGCCAAACAGAGCCTGGATGTGCTAGATCTCTGTGAAAGTGACCTATCTCCAGGACTCAAAAACTCTACAGTTTCCTCTTCAGAGCTGGGCAAGGACTGCCTGGAAGACTTGGCTGCATCCACCCAAAAGATGGATGGAGTAGTTGAGACAGCATCTCAGGATCTGAACACAATGGCCTTGGCACCAGGGAATGCAGCTGAAACAGATGTTATCAATCAAGAGATAGACCCCCTCTGTGCAGAATGCCGGCTGGTGCGACAGGACCCCTTGCCCCAGGACCTTGTGATGTTTCTGCATGCCCTGCGCTATAAAGGGCCAGGCTTTGAGTACTTTTCACCCATGCCTACTTGGGCACAGGATGACTGGCAAGAGGACTGAAAGCTGTGGCCAATGGAAAGATTGCTTCTTTGGTTGGAAGAGGCCATGGGGAAGGAACTGACCTCATGGTCTGGTTCTTAGGGTTTCTATAGGAGTGAGGTTGGGCTCTTAAAGGACCCGCTTATACTTTCTACCTCTTTCCTTCCTCTCCTTCAACCTAGAGTTTGAGGACTTTTTGATTCATAAATATATTCCTTTTTGTTATCCCTGGAATGTCTGGTTTTCCTACTGCTGCTGCTTTTTATTATTGAGATAAATTCACATAATATGATAATTAATTAACCAAATTAATGTATACAATTTAGTGACATTTAGCACATTCACTGTTGTGCAACCATTATCTCTTCCTTCTAATTTCAAAATATCTTCATCACTTAAAAGGAAACCCATACCCATTAAACAGTCACTCTCCATTTCCCCTTCCTCCTAGCTCATGTCACCATTAATCTATTTTCTGTCTCAATGGATTTGCCTATTCTGGACCTTTCATATAAGTGACATTTTGCCACTGTCTTCTTTTGTTTAGCATAATGTTTTCAAGGTTCGTCCAATTTACATCATGCATCAGTACTCATTTCTTTTTTATAGCTGAATAATATTCCATTTTATGGGTATTGTACATTTGTGTATCTATTTGTCAGTTAATGGACATTTGGGTTGTTTCCACCTGCTGTGTACATTTGTATACAAATTTTTGTTTGAATATTTTTTTCGGTTCTTTAGAGTATGCACCAAGGAGTGGAATTGCTGAGTCATATGGTAATTCTATGTTTAACTTTTTGAGGAGTCATGAAACTTTTCCACAGTGGCTGAGCTATTTTATATTCCCACCAACAACACACTAGGTTTCTAATTTTTCCACATCCTCACCAATACTTATTTTCTGTTTTGATTATAGTTAGTCTAGTGGAAGTAAAATGTTATCTTGTGATTTTCATTTGCATTTCCCTATTGACTAATAATGTTTATCATCTTTGCATGTGCTTGTTGTCTATATATCTTCTTTGGAGAAATGTCTATTTGAGATTTTTGCCCATTTTTGAATTAGGTTGTTTGCCTTTTTGAGTTAGAAGTTCTTTATTTTGGATACGAGATCAATTAGATATATGATTTGCAAATATTTTCTTCCATTTTGTAAGTTGTCTGTATATTTTATTGATAATGTGCTGTCATTCACAAAAGTTTTAGTGTACATACAGTATTGTTAACTACACACAATATTGTACAGCAGAGCTCTAGAACTTAATCATCTTGCATAACTGAAACCTTATACCTGTTGAATAGCAATTCTCATTTACTCTTGCCAATATCACCATTCTACTCTCTGCTTTGTGTTCGACTTTATTAGATACCTGAAGAGAAAAACTTATTTTCCTTTACTTGCTATTTACAGAATACTCTATACTTCAAATGTGTGGAGGTTTCCCCACACCAAGCAATTCTCTGAGACCAGGTAGGTGTCCTACAGTTTAACTCAATTCTGACACTATCTACCTGAAGATAGCATCAGATTCCACAAATTAAGGGGTCAGTTTCTCAAGACTGCCCTCACCTCACATGCTAATCTCAAGTCTGAGTTGTCACCTGTGCTTCTGGCCAACTATACATTGGAGTTTCCCACAACCTTCTCCTTAGGTTCAAAACCACATTTGCTGGAATGGCTCACAGAACTCAGGAAAATAATTTACTTGCTAAATTACTGGTTTATCATAAAGGATTTTGAAGAATACAAAGGAATGGCCAGATGAGATATCCTGAGGGAGGGGTCCCGAGTACAGGTGCTTCTGATACCGTAAGGCTCAGAGTATGCCACCTCTTGGGCACATGGATGCCTTCTTGTTCAACCTAGAAGCTCTCCTAACCTAGTCATTTGTGTATCTTTGGTGAGACATCTATTCGGATCTTTTGCCCATTGGGTTGTTTGAGGTGTTTTTTGCTCTAGAGTTGGAATTCCTTATATTTTTTAATATTAACCCCTTTCGGATATATGACTTGCGGATATTCCATTTCATAGGCTGCCTTTCACTCTTGTTAATTGTTTCCTTTGCTGTGCAGAAGCTTTTTAGTTTGATGTAGTTCTACTTGTCTGTTTATGCTTTTGTTGCCTGTGCTTTTGACAAATTTTAATTTCGATGCAATTCACTTTATTTTTTCTTTTATTGATTGTCCTTTTGGTATTCTATCTGAGAATCCTTTGATAAACCCAAGGTCATAAAGATTTACCTTTATGTTTTCTTTTTGATGCTGTTTTAAACTGAATTGTTTTCTTAATTTCATGTTTGGATTATCTATTGCTAATGTATAGAATTATAGCTGATTTTGGGGTTGATTTTGTGTCCTGCAACTTTGCTGAATTTATTAGCTTAATAGTTTTGTGTGTGTCTTTGTGTGTGCATGTGTGTGTGTTTCATGTCATCTGCAAAGAGAGATAATTTTACTTCTTGCCCTCTAAACCTTCTGTGTACTCAATTATTTTCCTTTCATTTGAAGCTTGTCCACATTTTTAAAACTGCAACATTTTTATCAGTCATTAACTACATCAGAACAGTTAAGAACTGCCTAGTAAGTTGAACATGTACATAACCAATGATTCCACTTCTAGCTCTATACTTAGAGAAACACATGCACATGTACCCTAGGAGACAGGTACAAGAACATTCACAGCAGCATTCTTATAATAGGAAAAAAACTGGAGACCACCATCCATAAAAGAATAGATACTTAATTTTCTTTTCAGATATTTGTATACTAAGCAGCAGTGAAAAATGAATGAACTACCTGGATAAAACAGTGTTGAATAAAAGAAATCATGGATGAATAAATATAATATGATTCCATTTATATAAAATTGAAAAAAAATATTTGTTAGGGATATACATGTGCATATTTGCTAAGAAAGGCAAGAAGATAATTAACAATTCAGTAAAGTGGTTATCTCTAATCGGAAACCAACAGGGAGGGGCACATAGGAAGCTTCAAAGGCACTGGTATTGTTCTGTTCTTAAGCTGGGACATATATGGGGCATTGGTTTTTATCATTGTTCTTTTAAACTGTATGTATATAATATATATGTATGTATTATATCGTGCAATATCTTTCAAGATAAGAAATTTTTAATAAAAAATGTTGTAAATCTCTTTTTTGTAACCTTTGGATATGTAACTCTCCTCTTTTAGTCACCCACCGCACACAACTCCTTAAGTCTATTTGACCTCCATGCAGCTGGGTCGGGTACCATTCCAAGTGCCTCGATCGTGCGTCATTTTCATCAGGGATGGAAAGCAAACATATGTTTGGTATTTTGGAGACTATAATGATAAGCAATATATAATAATTTGCAAATGTGACTGACCACTTTAATATGTCTTAGCAGATTCAAATACTGCTTCTTTATCATAAAAGAACTAAGATTTAAAAGCAGCTTATGGCCAAAAATAAATAAAGCAACTTATAGTTTTGGTATTGTAGATATGGCATGCTCTCAGATACACAGAGAGGTCACAAGATTCTCGAAAATACTCCAATAATTTAAGTAAATAGTAAGTGATGCAATTTTTCCATTTCTTTTTTCGTATAAACTTTTCAACATTCTAAATGAAGTTAAGGTAGGCCAAGAATTTTAAAATTCTTGCCCTAATTCATATCTTGCCCTAAATGCTAAATCATCCAAAATCAGAATTGAGGCAAATGTAGGGATTAAGAATTTTACAATACAAGGAATGACAAAGATTGCCATCAAACCACCAGAAGCTAGGGAAGAGATATAAAACAGGTTCACCCTCACAGCCTTCAAATGGAACCAATCCCATTGACACCTTGATCTAGGACTTCCAGTTGCCAGAATTATGGGACCATTTCTGTTGTTTAAGCCAAAAAAAAATATTTTTTTAAGTCCTGCATCATGAGCTAAAATAAAGACTGCCTCTGTTACTTGCTAGGTTGTACCAAAAAGTGATTACTGACAATCATTGAAAGGAGAGTTGATTGGGAGTGATACTTTCAGTGAGTACACAGAAACCATTGTCAAGGAGTTATTTCAATATTTTAAAAGCTAAATATATATGTCTATAGGTGTGTGTATATATATTTTTAGATGCCAAATTTCTGTCATTCAAGACTTTAAAAATCAGAATTTTAATTCCATAGCTATATTTGCTATCAACAGAAAGTTGATCATTGAGATGACTTGGACTTTCAATGGTCTGTTTTTGTCACTCCATATGTTGTCAAAGTTCATGCAGCCTTCATTTGTCCATCAGTATCGCCTAAGCATTTACTAAAGGAATTTGATCTAGAACTGATAAATATAAATCAATATGTTCAAATAACAATATTCGAGATTCAAAATTTTTACAAAAGCCAGAGGGGAAAAAGTGCTCAGAGTCAATGACTTTTTATTTAGCCCAAAGAGAAATATGAAAAATGTACTACTTTATAGGTATCATAATCAAAAAAGGATTATTGTTTCTGTTTCTAACCATGAAACCACCAGTCATGTCCTCAAGTCTTGCCTTCATCTGTTAACTTCACCCTATTCCATAGAGTTGGGTTCAACCTTGTTTTACTTCATTCTGGAGATTTCAAAGGAAAAAATTATTTTGAAATTTGAAATGTGGGGCATTGCTCCTCCTAAATATGATGAGAAGGAATGGTGTAATCATTGCTTGCTAACTATCCATAGCTTTCTCAGCAGAAGATTCAAAACATGGAATATCATAAGTGTTACTCCCCATTTCCCACAGTAGTTGGCATTTATTCACTTTGTCTTTCCTAAGCAAGGTTACTATCAAACGGATTTGTTTTTGCTCTATTGATCTTCAATATGAAAAACTTCATTTCATTTTTAGCTCACTAGAAGCTGTTATAGCAAAGTGGATGTCTTCACATGATAGCATGTAGCTCAGGGAATGGTTTGAGCCAAGGGAAAATGTTTCTTGCAGACTCAGAGAATAATGCCTGTCTTGAATTCTTGAATGTCTCAAGGTCTTGTCATGATTGTTTTCACAGAGATAGTTCTTCATTGGGACCATACTTCCTAATGGTGAGAAGCAGAAGTTACTTTTGTCATCTGCCTCTCAAAATCAATCTTTGCAAATCTTGCAGCCTGGCGTCTGTTTTGTTTTTTGTTTTGTTTTGTTTGCAAAAGTTAAGAAATGAACTCAAACCAAAAAAAAAAAAAAAAAAAAGAAAGAAAATTCATTGATTTCAAAGCTTCCTTCAGAGCTATATCATATAAAGGCTGCTGACACTTAAGGGCCTGCCTGGACGCAAATAATCACCAGCTAAACACTGGACAGTTCTTCCCAGAGCACCTCATTCTCCAGGCAAAATGGGTCTTCCTAAAGCTGTACTTGGAGAATGAAGAACCGTTCCCTGGCACTGAAGCGATAAGAGAGCTAGAATATCTTGGTAATGCACTTGACTATGTAATGGGTCTTTCTCCCATGGCCTTCTAGAAGTTGAAGGCGTGAAGAAGGACCCTTAACGATAGGACTTATGAAGAAGAACCTGGTGTTGATGGAGAATGGTTTCCTTCAGATGTCATTTGTTGACAAATCTGAGAGAGTAATGAGGATCTTTCCAAATGAAGCAGCCATTCTGTAGAACTGTCTTGTCCATCGTGCAGTTGCAGCTGCTCCAGTAGATGGCGACTCTCTTAGTGCTTTATAAATTTATTTTCTATTACTGATCCGAGTATTTTTTTTTCCCTGGGCTTTTAAATAATCTGGCGTGTTATTGATTCTTTTTTGGTTCTCTTGGAAAAGGGTAAAAACAGTTCTTACAGATCCAGAGGTCATAGAAGTGCAAAAAATACACTCTTAACAAGTCTTACTGAAATTTCATAGGAAAGAAACCATAAATGAACTAAGCATGAAAACAAGTACAGAACTGAGGAATGGAATAGTGAGCTTACACTCAAATTTTCTTATTTTTTTCCTAGACACTTCCAGTGTTTTGTATTTTCAGAACTTCTATGGCTGAAGATTTTCCATTGAGAAGAGAATCCATTTACTTTTTATTTGAAGAGACTTGACACATTGATAGACCTTATCAATTTTCCATAGGAAAGTCATCACTGCAAGAAGCAGGTAAAACTCAGAAAAATGATGCAGACTTACTAGTGTAAGCACTAGTGGGCAATTTAAATATTGCAGCACTAATGGGCAATTTAAATACTGTCTGGCAAGTTCTGGGAGAAACCCAAGAAGCTACAGGAGCATCTTGGAGGGGTGCAAAGCCCCTGAAACAAGAGAGAGCACAGGGGCTAACTAAAAGAAATCTAAGCTTCAGGATTCAGGGCTAGACAAGGCCTGTTGATGGGATGACATCTAAACTGAGATCTGAAGGTGCCTGTTCCAAGGAGAGGAGTAAGGACAGCATCTGCAAAGGTCTTGTGGGCGTGAGAGCAAGGCCTAGTTCAAGGAAAGCTTAAGATCAGTGTCTTGAAGGTGCTTTAGAAAAGTCCGACAGGGGATCTTAAACTTTTTTGTGACATAGACCCTTTTGGCAGTCTGGCAAGGCCTATGGGTCTCTTCTTAGAATATTGTTTTAAAATGCATAAAATTAAATTTATTGGATTACAAAGGCAACCAATTATGTTAGAGTACGGTTATCAAAATATTTTTTAAATCTTTAAGATAGTTCTAATAACTACCATTATTTTGAAGTAGTGATGAGCATAAAGCAAAAACGATAACATGATATAAAAATCTCCATAATTTCTATTGGTGACAAAATCACAAGTAAGGTTAATATTACTGTACTCTGTTGCTTATGTTTATTAAAAGAAATGCTTTCGGTTAGAGATTAGTGAAAATAAAGATGCAATTTTTCTCCTCAACCAACTAATCAATTGAATTCTATCCATGGTCCTTTGAGAGTGTATGGAATTCGGAGAGGAAACCTTCCAACAGCAGGGTGGTGAATGGATTGGAAAGCAAGGCTGAAGGCAGGTGCTGGAGTGACCCTCGGCCCAAGGAGGTATCAATATTCCCAAGGGATTTGGATTTAAGAGGGATGAGTCAGTGGAGCCAGTTTAGCAAGGACTACTGCCTTCCACCCTCTGTGCCACAAACTTAGCTGAAGCACCTGCCAGGCGTCAGGTTCTGGGGTACCATGCTGGTGCTCAGAGAATGTGTAAACCATTACCACAAGGGATTGATGAGCCCTTGTTTACTAATAATCTCCAGCACAGTATAAAATAGTGGTTAAGAGACACGAGAGTTGGACAGACATGGGTTACACTGCCCTTTCTGCAATTATATAAGCTGTCTAACTTTGAGCAAATTTATCTTCCATTGTTCTCATCTGAAAAATGGAGTAATAAAAATGTCTATCATGATCACAGAGTTATAGTGAGTTGAAGTGATGTAATTCATTAGGGTACCTGTAGATAAATATTGGATAAGCGAAGGTTGTTGAATGTGAGTTGAAATGAATCTGCCTGACGACCTTTCAAGAGAGGAATCTCTCTATTTTTTTGCTTCCTGTGCTTCCCTCACTGCTTAAACCCGAAAGAGGTTTTAACACTTTCTTTTCCTCTGGGAAGGTAGCCATGTTTCAGGTCTTAAGTCTCTGGCTACTAGATATGTACTACCAAGGTTATATCTTTTGTCAGCATCTTTTTAGTTTCCCTGTGTATATTTTTCTTGAGCACCTGCAACCTACTGGGGACTGGAAGAGAACCCTGAAATGAACAGTGTCACGAGGTGGCTTTTGAAATGAAATCGGGTATTTCGTAGTAAGGACAAGTAGTAAGAACTGTAGCTTAAGAGTCCACAGTAATTGAAGCCTCTTGATCAGGATCTAGTTAATTAATATGGAGCAGATCAGCATTAAACGACATGGGAATAGCAGTAATCGTACAGTTCTATACATTGTCTTTTTCGTATAAAAAGAAATGAAATCCAGCACAGATATTTTTTGATACCCAGAAAATGCCCTTTTCTTTGTAAGGTCAGAATGTTCAAAAGTTGTCTTTTAAATATTTTGAATTTGAGATTGACGGAGCTGGGGTCAATCGACTAGTAAATCGGAGCCGGAATATATTAAACTATTTCCACTCTGTAAGTAAATTTACACTCATCTGAGTCAAAAAGTCACTCCCGACGAGGATGGGATTCGAACCCACGCGTGCAGAGCACAATGGATTAGCAGTCCATCGCCTTAACCACTCGGCCACCTCGTCCCAGAAGCCTACTCCTTCCTGGTAGCTATAGGGAGTAATAGTAGGGGGATGTGACGCAGTATTATGGAGGCCACCATTTTGTACGGAAACAAAGAGCCTATCGTTTTTAAAGCAAGTAACCAAAAGAAGATGGCCGCTCCCATAAGATGGGAAGCAATACGGGAAACAAAATAAAATTCAACAGAAAATGAGAAACCTTGAAGGAAATAATATTGGCATACAGGCTGGAAAGGAAGTTCGATTACAGGAGTTTTAGGACTAGGGTTGCTCCGGCATCTAAGGGGCGGAGTCGACGCATAGACTGTCTTTGCGCATGCGCGTCGATTAGGCGGTTAGATTTGAATACTGCACGGAAGCTGTCTGGGCGCTGTTAGGTGACGTCCAGAGGCGACGGTGAACTACCTCTCCGAACCCTGCGGACCCTAACCGAACCCCGCGGACCCCAAACAGATGTAAGGAGAATTTCTTAAGCAGGAGGCTGCGGCAGGTAAAGAGAATGACTCTTGCGTCTGGGCTCTTGGGGGGACTTTAGGTTTTATCTAAGCACCCTGAACGTCCAGCGATAGGAGGTAGGGGACGCTCCCTATGCCAGGCGGCCCCCGAAAGCTTTGGGCTAGAGTAGACGCTTCTCTCTTGGTGTGGGGCTCTTTCTTTCCTCATCTGGGCCTGCACATTGATCCGCTTTCCACCTCCCTAGCACTTCCCACCTCCCTAGCACTTCCCATCCACACCTGGGCCTCTTCGGTCGCATCAGGTCGGCTCGGCTCGGTTATCTGTGGCTCTCTCCGCGTCTGAGACCGCAGCGTCCCGCTAGTCCTCTTCTGTCCAGGCTCCCGGACTCTTTCTCGCACTCCGGCTCTCTTCCCTAGGAAACTCGACTGTTTGTATTTCTGACTCGGTCTTTTCTTGCTGTAAATGAAGTGACAGCAATAAGTGATTTTAAACTCTCGGTTTATCGTGGTTTATTTAAGCCAGTATTATTAGTACTCCACAAATGAGTTTTTGAAAATCTTTCTCTGTCCATTATTAGCTTCAGAGTTAAAGCCCCCTTTCTTGCTGTTTATCTCAATACTAGAGTTTAAGAAAAAAATTCTAAAAAAATTACTGATTGGAATTTTAAAAATAAGTTTATAGAGATATGACAGAGACTAAAGCAGAACTTACTCTAGATATTAAGATCGAAGTTTTCACTTCAGTTGAATTGAATCAGTCAAATTCCTCGGATATTTATTGGGTTCCTTCTTGTTATGTGCCAGGGCTGGAAGCAGATGATTCAGAGTCCCTAATCTAATAGTTTACTGTCCAGAAGGGGAAATAATATACACAGATAACTATAATACAAGACAGTGTAAAGGATTGTAAGACATTCTAAAGTGGCATAGGAACATACAGAAGGGAGAGCTTATTTGATTCCTTTAACAATGGAGACTGAAAGAAGCTTCATGGATAAAGTGAGATTTGAGGTGTAACTTGAGACGAATGATTTACAGAGATAAGTTTAATGTACTGTAAGATCTGGCTAATTAAAGGTTGGGTTCAAAGCAGTATAATTCTTCTTGACTATATGGGTGGCTGGAAATGTTTACAAGATGACAGATAGATAAAAACTGAGTAACAATGTTTGATGTGTTAGTATTAACAATACTTAAAAAGTTGTTATTAAGTGGAAATAAATTTATGTTTGATGCTAAATAAGAGACTAGAAGATATACTAGATATTGATAGGACAGCTGTCCTATCAGTGATAATTGTAATGTTTTACATCTGGACTGTCCAACTGGGTACCCATTAGTCACATGTAACTATTGAGCATCTGAAGTATGGCTATTGTGATTGAAGAACAGAATTTTAAATTTTATTTTATTTTAATTAATTAAGTTTAAATAGCTGCTGTTTGGACAACACAGATCTAGGCTCTATATCAGTGGACACTATGGAATATATTAACTCTAGTTATTGGTAGTATAAATGGAGGAGTGGACGAAGAGGCAGAAAGTAAATATTTCAGGCTTTGAAAGCTACATGGTTACTGGCATGGTTTCTGTCACATTCTTCTTTATTTGTTTTTTGTTTTGTTTTCTACAACCCATTCAAAATGTAAAAACCAAAAAACTCCAAAAACACTTTGAAGGACCCGTTTTAACAAAATATGTAGTTTTTAACTGCCTACAGCACCTGGTATTCCTAGGTGGTCTCCCATCCAAGTACTAACCAGGCCCAACCCTGCTTAGCTTCAAGAGATCAGACCAGATTGGCACGTTACAGGTGACATGGCCGTGGACCAAAGTCCATAGTCTAAACTCAAAGTTTTTCATATCTTGGCCATGCTACCCTGAACAAGCCTATCCTGTCTGATCTCAGAAGCTAAGCAGGGTCGGGCCTGGTTAGTACTTGGATGGGAGACCACCTAGGAAGACTAGGTGCTATAGGCGTAAAAAAAAAAAAAGGAATTGTAAGCTGACAAGGTCCTTGAAATCTATGAGGTCAACGAAGAGTTGCCTCACCTAAAAATAAATAAATAAATAAGAATAAAAATTTCTCATTTCTTATAGCTCCATTGGGTACTTTTTCTTTCTTTTTTTGGTCTTCTCTTAGATAGTAATACTAAAGTAACAACTCTGCTCTTAATCTCTTCATAGTTTATACTTTCTTCTTTCTCACCTTTTCTAATATCGTGTTTGTTACAGAAAGATTTTCTTCTAAAATGGATGGGATGTCTTCAGAGACTAATGAAGAAAAGTAAGTTCATGCAATGCAGCTAAAAATGTTAAACTCTTTATCAGAAACAGATACTTTTTCAGTTAGTAAAACCTGTTGATAACTTCTGAAATCTGTTTGTATTCTCTTCCAGGGAAAAGAAGTAAATGTTACAAAGTTATAGCCCTCCTTGCCATATCTTTATATAACCTATCTAGAGTCAAAACTGAGAGAGACTTTAGAGACCACCTCCCATTTCTTCTATTTAAGAATGAGAAAATTGAGGCCCAAGGAAACAAAATGATTTGTCTAAAGTTGGCATCTGTTTACAACCAGAGACATAATTTTTTTCTCAAACAATGTTTTTAAATTTTTGAAATAGTTGCTAAATGTCAAAATTTCAAGATTTCATATAACAAGTAGATTTTCAGCTTCTCTTGAAAATCAGCTGTGGCAACACTGGGCTTGTATTCTTGCTTGGCAACAGCTAACCTGTATGTAGTAATGGCTATGACCTTTAAACCAGGCAAGAACTCTCCATTATAGTCTCCACTCCACCTATTTTTCTTATACTTATTAAATTATGTGTTTAGCCTCCATAGGAATTTGAATTTTTAAAACCCGATGTAAAAATCACATAGTAAAACCAGAGCTAGAATCTCTTGATTTATAACCCATTTATCTTGTAATTGTACCTCCGTAAATATGGTAAATTATGTTGTACTGATTGTGTTTCAGGATGGTCTCGTAGTATATAATGTGTGTTTTAAAACACTGACTTCCTAAATATTGAATATAAAGTGTTGTAAATTTTGCTAAGTGAAAGCGATGCTGAGTTTTAAGTGAAGGATGGCTAATTTAAAAGCATGTAAGAGTTGATGTGACTATGGCTTTTGAAAATTCAGGCTTTTATCAGTATGTATGTAAATTTTTTTCCTCTCTTCTAGTGACAATATAGAGAGGCCTGTTAGAAGACGACATTCCTCAGTAAGAAACATTTATTTGTTAACTTTTTTTTGAATGATGACTGTATTCCATAGTAATTTTTACTGTGGCATCACTATCCCACCTCCACTGGCTCCTATTGCTCTCTGGATAAAGAATAAAATATTTAACCTTATATAGTTTTATAGTTGTATAAATATACTAAAATTTACATTTTGTAAATGTACTAAAATTCACATTTTATTACTCTCATGGTAATTTTATGAATTGTATGCTATTGTAAATTATACTTCAATAAAGGTGTTTAAAATATATTTAAACTGATGTGCAAAGCAAGACACAAAAAATCCAACTTAAACTGATTTAAGCACAAGATTTATCAGATTATGAAGCTGAAAAATCCAAAGATAGGAATGACATTAGGCACAACTTACTAACCTGGGGTTCCAACAATATTATCAGTACTAGGATTTCCTTTCAATTTTTCTACTCTGATTGCTTCCTCTGGGTAATCTTCATTATTAGATAGGCTCCCTATGCTTACTACATTATATCTATCTCCGAACATTCAGGTTCAAGTCTTACATAAAAAATATCTATTTCCTGAAGATAAATAATACAAATGACTCAAGATTGAATTGTACTAGCTTGATTATCTTGATATGGATCAAGCTCTCATTCCTGAACCAATCACTATTGCTGAGAGAATACCATATGCAGATTATTCTAGACCAGGGCTACGTGTTGTACACGTAGGTTGGGTTGGAGCTTCACTCAGACCACATGGGATGAGAGTTGGGAAAATAATTGGGAAAGGTGGGCAGGGAGGGAGAAGGGAATAGATGCCAAATATTTAAACGAGCCACAAAGTATAGCACTGAACAGAATGAATTTGAGGAATTTTAGAGATTTTTATAGGAATTTTAGCATCTCTACCTTTCTACTCATAGTATGACTTCAAATGAACTGATTATTAATAGATATGCCAGATTTTCTTGAATAATTCTCTTCTAGATTTTGAAGCCCCCAAGGAGTCCTCTTCAGGACCTCAGAGGTGGTAATGAAATAGTTCAGGTAAGTTCCTAGTGCAAATGCTTTATAGATTACTGTTTTCAGTGATATTTTTAATAGTCAGGAACTTTATTAGCTATATGAAGAGAGAACATCATAAATTATTCTCAGTTGAATATGTACAAGTAAGCATCCTATGGCCCTCAGGTTAAAATTCAAACACTAGATTAAGCTGGCACTCGTACTTTTTAACCTCTACTTACTTTCCAGCTTCTTTCTCTCCACTCTCGCACATGTGTCTTACTATTCAGAACTGCTTACTATTCCCCAAACAAGACAGACCTGTAAGCCTGCAAGTATTTACATATGATATTCCATCTGTCTAGATGGTTAGTCCTTCATTTTTTTTTCTTCAAACGTTTTAAAAAATTTTTCAAACATACTGAAAAGTAGAAAGAATTTTACAGCAAATGTGCATATATAGTCATCACCTAGATTCTATTATTAATATTTTATCATACTTGCTTTATCATAAATCTGCAGCCCTCTTTATTGGGTAATTCCTATTTGTTTTTCAAAACTCAGCTTTGGAATCACTAATCTTAGAAAATCATTCCTCAATACCTACTGTAATTGATTACTAATGTCTGTTTTTAAATCGAGAGCTCCATGAGGGCAAGAACTTTATCATGCGTTTTTTTTTTTTTTTTAAATTTATTGTGTCCAGTACATAGTTGGCTTTTAGTACATTTTGTTGGTTGATACAATGTATGTAGTTTTGGAGACCATGTAATTCTGAGTTCTCATTCTGCTTTGGCCTCTTTTTCTATTTCTCAAATACATCAAGTTTTTTCCTGTATTAGGGCCTCTGCACACATTCTGCCTAGAATGCTTTCCTTCTGCCTTTCATTGGACTAACTAATCTTTCAGGTTTCAACTTAAATATATTTCCTCAAAGAAATCTTTCCTGATTCTCAAGCTAAATTCGTTTTTTATATAGCTTTCCTTCGTATTACTCATCATACTTTTGAGTTTTATATTAGTGGATTTTTTTGTTTAATGTCTGTCTCAGCATTAATCCTCAGTAGTGTAGAGACTATTTTCTTTACTACTGTTTTCCTATCACTTGGCACAGGAATTGGTTGTGTGTGTGTGTGTGTGTTTTTGTGTGCTAAAAAAATTATTGAACTTTGAATGATTAAATGACAGATCCATATTTATTCAAGATAAATGTGTGCTAGAGGTCTGTACAACACTTTGTCTATAATTAATAATATTGTATTATACCTTTAAAAATCTGTTAAGAGGGTAGATTGCTTGTAAAGAGAGTCTTACCACAATGAAATAAAAATAAATTTTTTTAATGGTTAAGATAAATTTTATTTATGTATATTTTACATTTAAATTTTTTTTTAATCTTAAAAATAGTATAGTAAGGTTAGAATAACAGGCAACATATCACTTGCTTTATTCCCAGTCTTTCTTCTTGATAGCAAAATAGCCGTTCATTTAAAAGGGAGAAAAGATAAGGGGCAGTAATCACCTTCCTTAAATATATGTTGTTTATATCCGTATGCTTATTATCACTCACACTGAAAATTATATTCATGTTTGTTAAGTGCTTCTACATTGGGATTATTTTGGAGAATCTAATAATAATCAAAATAAATAATGATATCAAATTCATTCAGAATAAGACTTGGTCTGTCTGCAGTATTCTGAAAACCTAATTCACAGTGGTTTCATCAAGAATCACACCATATATTCTCTGCCTTTAGGAACCCAATGCGTTGAGAAATAAGAAAAGCTCTCGTCGAGTCAGCTTTGCAGATACTATAAAGTAAGTTGAAATGAGAAATAATTTTAAAATTACGGTAATGGTTTTTTGTATGTCAAACCAAATATGTTGGTTCTAACTGACTCTGATAACCTGTATTTCAATTAGATAAGCATTAGAGAATTGTTATTCAAAAGGTCGTTATTCAGGATTATGCTTAAAGAGAAACATTAGAAGCATTCTCTCCAAAGTAAGGAACAAAACAACTGTCTTAACCACTGTTATTAACATTGTATTGGAGGTGCTAACCAACAAAAATAAACTAGAGAAAGAAATTGGAGTTATAAAAATTGGATAAATCTATTAGGTTTTGCAGATCATATATTAGGAAAATCCAAGAATATCAATTAAAATACCTCTACAGACACTAAGTATCAAGATAAAAATTAACATGGAAATTAGTATATTTCCTATATATAAATAATAACGAGATAGAGATAAATGTCTTTTTTAATTGTTATATTTTGTTGCTGTAAATATAATAAAAGCATATAAAAAATAAAACATTACTGAAGGATATTAAAGATTAATTGTACAAATGAAGACAAGTTCTTAAATAAAAAGATTCAACATCATAAAGATGTCATTTCTCCCTAATTTAATTTTTAAATTTAATGTATTCTTCTATGTGGTGTTTTCATGATGATTTTCTTGATGTTCAGCAGTATATTTGTATTTCTTCATTGATTCAAGAGTTGTTTGATAGAGATTTTTAAAATATCTAAGTGGTAAGGATATTTTGTTGTCATTAATTTTTAGTTATATTGTCAGAGAATGTTAATCTTGTATTATTTTGATTTCTATTGAAATTGTTTTTGTAATCTCGTATATAATCAACTTTTGTGAATGATCCATAGGTACTTGAAGATATATTCTGTATTTTAGAGTGTAGAGTTTGATATATATCAGTTATATCCACCTTATACCTTATGTTATTTGAGTCTTCTATAATCTTACATAATTTTAGTCATTTTAATCTATCATGAATTATGAGAGAGAGGTGAATTAGTCTCTTGTTGATAAGGCATCTCACTTTATATCTCTATATTCCTAATAGTTTTCCTTTATGAATGTTGATTCTATGTTTATTGGTACATCATCGTTAAATCTTTATTCGGAATTGCACTTTCTAGCATTAAGAAATATTTATCTTTGTTTTGTTTATTGCTTTTTGACCCAAATTTTACCTAGACCAATATTAAGATTTCTGTCTGTGCTATATTTTTTGTCATTTGCCTGGTATACTTTTGTGTATTGTTTGACCATGTATGAGTGATGATAAAATTACTTTTCAAAAAAACTGTCATCTAAATAATCATGTTGAAATGATCATTTTAACATAGGAAGTTCACCTGTCTCAAGTAATCGAAAATGGGTTTATATAAATTTTAGTTTTTTCACTATTAAAGATATTGTACACTTGAAACTTATATAGTCTTATTAACTAATGTCACCTTAATAAATTTAATTAAAAGAAAAAGAAGCACAGGATTCTCGATATAGAAACAAGTACAGTAAAATATAAAAAACAGGTATAGTAAAACTTACTATACTTAAAACTCCCACCTGAGTTATTAGAATTAACCTATATTCTCCATTACACTTGTAAAACATACTGATAGCTACAGTACACTGAACACTGTCGGGTCCGTAAGCTTCAGATCCTAAGAGTTGATTGGTTGGCTTACCAAGGAGTATATGTCTTGTTTATATAGTTGAAGTAATTAAATAATTTAATATTACATAAGCCAACGATAATGAGCTCAAAGGAAAAGAGTTATTTCTATGAAAAACATATTGAATGGCTAGGAAAAAGTTGATAAAGGTGAATTTATTTTAAAAATGCTTTCAAATTTGTTATGAGTGAGACAAAATAAAAGGGAAATCAATCATAAAAATTTAGAAGGATTCTGTGTTAATACCACTTTAAAGTTACTTCGAAAATTTTATAAACACTGAAATTGTATCAGTAGATCCACACTCAAGAGTAAAGGCCTCAGATTGATATCAGGAGATTTGCAAATTTAAATCCATTTTTTAAAATGGTTAAAGTATTTATGGGTCAGTTAGAATTTCTTATTTTAAAAGATAGTTTTTGATTAATTGACCAATTACTGACCCTGCTCATATTGAATAAAAAGGCTTCTATTATTCTGTTGTAAATCATTTGAAGAAAAATTGTTTTGAGTGTGGCTTTGTAGTTAAAGCTCAGGTTTTAAAACCAGACATATTTGGGTCTGCATTTTGGTTCTGCCACTTAACAGTTATACGACCTTGGTAATTACTTAACCCTTTATGAACCTCAGTATCTACATCTGTAAGGTAACAGGAATTGTTATAATCATTAAAAATACACGTAAAGAACATAGTACAGTGCTTGGCACACAATATGCATGCAAATGTTCACTGCTTTTTTGTAACTGAAATAAAATTCTTTTCAATTAAGAACTTCTGTATAATGAATGATAATTTTAGCAAAATGAAAGTGAATTGGTCAAATTCTTCAAGGCAGATATTAAATGCTGCTTCTCCATGAAGCTTAATCACCTCAGTGAAAAGATATCCTTTCCTCCGGAGTTCATGCCACCATATCTGAACTGTTAATAACAAAAGTTAGTGAAGTAATATTTATATTCACTATTCCAGCTTTTTACTTATAGTGAAAGCACTTTGAGGTCAAGGATCATGTGTCAGACTCTGGTATATAGCACCAGGTTTATAGCGTGTGCTTAATAAATGTTGAATAAAATTAATATTTTGGGTTATTGAGAGGAATAAAATAATTATTTGGTCAGCTCATTAAAAAACCACAATAGATTTTAAAGTGGTAAACTGATTTTGGCATTCGAAATATCAGTAGTACGTGATACAACAAAGAGGAAGCTGAAATCAAAGTGATATATATTCCTATCTCAAAACAGTATAAATTAATACCATAGTGTTATGATTCAAAGTTGTAGATTTTCATTATTCTTTATTTTCTCTTCTAGGGTATTCCAGACAGAATCTCATATGAAAATAATGAGAGAATCAGAAATTACAGGTAAATATATTACAATGCAGTCTCTGATAAATCTGTTTTCTATAAAACTTTACAGTGGCTATCAAACCAGATAACTGATAAAACTTATTGTCCATCTTATTGCATAAAAAGCATAACTTGAGCCATGGGGGGCAGAAAGGTGGGTAGTTAGTAAATTTTTTTATTGTACTTAATGTCCTTATGTAATTTTTCTAATGTTTTATTAGTGTATCCTTGAACAAATTTTATTTCATTTTTTAGAAACAGATGCAAGGGAAAATGTTCTCTTTATACAGTAAGTACAGAAAATGTGATTCAGATTATACTTTAAAAGTTATTCTTATTAAATGAAGTGCTTTTGAAATTAATATTCTTTTTGTTTTTTTTGTGTCCATTTTGTGGAATACTTAGTATTAATTCAGAAAACAAATTCTTTGTAGAATTTAATATACTGCTATATCTAATAAATATGTGCTTATTCTTTTAATGGAGTAATGAAATACACTTTCATATATAAATCCTTAAATACATCAGCAAGTATAAAACAATAAATACCAAGTTTTCAGATTTTTTCATTAAATTAGTTTTTGTAATATTAATACATAGAAAAATAAATACCATTAGCTCTTGAACAAATGAAAAGATACTTATCTTCACAAGAGAAATACAAACCTAAACTATATTGAGATATAATTTTTCATGTAATCAGTTAAGAATATAGGTAAAAAGATACTCATTGCTAGTGAGCATAAATGGTAGAAGGCAATATCATGCAAAATTTTAAGTGCACATGCCCTTTGACTCAGCAATTTCATGTCTAGGAATTTATCTCACCAATATACTTGTAAATGTTTGGAGTGATGAATATATAAGGTCATTTACTATAGCATGCATTGTAATTAAAAAAGATGCGAAGAGATCCTTTAAGTCCATCAGTAAGGGACTGGTTAAATAAAGTACAAATTTTCTGTGTAATTGACTGCTGTTGAGCTGGAAAAAATTCTCTTTATAATCAAATACAGAAAAATCTCTTAAGTCATATTTCTGAGGGTCTTCACAGATAACCACTGTTGATTATTTTGGGTATCCTTGCAGAAATTTTATATGTATATCCAAGTTTATGTTTCTCTTTAGCCTTTTTTTAAACAAGACAAAAATGGGATCACTTAATAATATGTCTTGTAGCACTTTCCATGTTGTTACATACAGATCTACTCATAATCTGCTGTATATCTATGGTAACATTTAGTCAGCTCCCTGTTGATGGACCTTTGAGTTGTTTCCTTTTATTTTTTAATTATCTTTAAACCTAAATTTCTAGAAAAATGAATTGCTCTATAGGTCATTCTTTATTTGAAAAAAGTATGCAGCGTGTATTAAACATGTTTTTGTAGTATTTTAAAAATTAGCAAACTATTCTGAAAAGGGTTCTTTAATTGCCTTGTAATTTTTTCTGTCTGTATTAGATGAGTCTTTTTAAAAATATGTCTTTGTATTTTTCTATCACTCACACTATGAAAATCTTTCACCACTCCTACTACTCTTTAGGTTGTTGTGATTCTTGGTAATTATTTGGGGTATAGATTTTTAAAAACACTTTTTAAATTTTAGGAATAAGAATCCAGAAGATAATTACTGTGAGATTACTGGTGAGTATGATCAGAATACTTTTTTAATCATATACTTTCTCATCCAGATTCCTTGGTAAGTAATATCTAAATGAATCACAAAAAAAGAAAATGTGAAGAGAGCTCTGTTCTTTACACAAAATCTGCAATTTAAAATTCCACAAATTTATTTCTCACAAACCTCTTGTTCCTCTTGTTTTCTCTATCTTGGACTCCCACTCACTCATTCATTTGCTCAGGTTAGGAATTGAGTCATTTTTTATATTTTGCTTCATACTGCATATCTATATTTCTGCATATCTACTCTTTCTCTTCTATCTCCTAAATAATCTTGTATATCTGTTTACCTATTCTCCGTTCCTTCTGCCACTGTTTAAATTCAAGTTCTTATTATTCTTTCTTGGGCTGTTGTATTTAGTTTCTTATCCTTCTAATCCATTCTATATATTTCTAGATCTGATCATATTACCGCCCAGCTTATAATGTTCAG